GGTACGTTTCACAACCCAACCCGATTAGGATATGTCATATCGTGTTGAGCTGTGACAGATTAATCTCAATATCTAGGTTTGAAATATTTCATATTATCTTATAATATTTATTTTAAATAAACTATAGACTATAGAGCTACTAAAATAATCAAATACTGAAAATAAACTCATCAAGAATATTTCTTTTATTTGAACAAAATACATTTACACTACAGTACACAACTGTATAAAAATCAAAAGAGAAATATCTATAAACTCGGATCCGATCAAGAACAGGTAATTAATAGTCTCCTTCCCTTTCTAAGATCATAAAAATTAGAAACAAAATCATAGTGAGTTATAATAGCTTAGCAGGCTACACAATCTAATCTAAAATTTTAATTTCTTCTCTTAAATTTTGTTGAATATTTAAAAGCAGTTAAATGCAGTATAATAAATCACCATACTCAGAAATGCAATAGGAGCATAACATTTATTCAATTATTAAAAAAAATTATTGAATAAAAAAATAAATTGTAATTCATATCATAAGGCAACTCATATCACATCTCCCGAATCTAGATATAATCTCAAAGGATTATGAACCCTTACAACTCCCTTTTGAGCTTATAACACTAAAACATGCTCGTAGGCACTAGAATATGGCTTATAATCACAAGAAAATGCCTTACACTAGAACATTCATTGATACAAATTGAATCTCAAAGGATTATGACCCCTTATAGCTCTCAGTAGATATGTTTTAATCATATAAGCGTATATTTCATCATATTGTAAAAATCAAAGCTAAATTTAACACATATAAGAATTATACAATGTTCTATAATGGTAGATAACTGAACTTCCTATTAAGCAAATTTTTACAATGTTAGAACATAACCAAATTATAAAAGATTGTGTAAAACACTATTTTAAGACATTCACTATACTACTGGCTTATTTTTTTGTGTATAGATTATTTTTTATTTTCTTAAAATCACACAGATTTTGAGATACAATGTATAAAACTTTCAGAAAATATTTACAATATTCATAATCATAATCTCTATACCACACACAAAGTTATACCACACACAAAGTTAAGTGGTGGAAATTTTTCTGTGCAATGTTATACGCATTTTTTGCTAACAAAATTATAAATTTATTAAAAAAATTTGATAAAATCTATATTTTTGAAAACTGAGACAAGCATAATATGATCTACCTTGATTCAAACAACTTTCTGAACTAGGCTGATGGATGAAAATGACTCGAAGCGGCTCAAAAATACTCTTATTTCTCCATGAATCTTCTTCTTGAAGCTTTTTCTAATCAGGTCAGGATAGGTCAATCCGGATGATAAACCTACAGGTGTCACAACTCTCCCCTCCTCAAAAAAATATCATCCTTGACATTTATAAACTTAGTTCTCAAATCACAAAAATAAATCAGTATATAGTTGTCATATCTAATTAGACTTTTTTCCAAGTAGTTAGCTTCTCTTTTAGCACTGTTGTTCCATTGAAGTTTAAGCATAAAAATTTGTATACTCCATAGCTTTCTGACATCATATGCTAGAATAATTTCTTGTTCTTCCTTGTAGCTTAGATTCAAACGTACTTTGATGTCTTTGGCAGATATCCTATTTCCAGAATCAGATATCAATTTTCTCAAAAGTGTGTAACACATGAATTTCTAATATATGATATATCAATTATAACATTTAGGTAGATTTCTAAATTATTTCAACAACTTTAAATGGTCTACCAAGCTGATCAAATACATCATCAATTCGTGGTAGAGGATGATCATATCGTGTTGAGCTGTGACAGACTAATCCCAATATTTAGTTTTGAAATATTTTAGATTATCTTACAACATTAATTTAAATAAACTACATACTATAGAGCTATTAAGACATTCAAATACTAAAAATAAACTCATCTTTTTATTTCATTAAAATGTATCAACACTACATTACACGGCTTTATAAAAATTAAAAGAGAAATACCTATAAACTCATATATGTCATGAACTACTAATTAGTAGTCTCCTTCCATCTCCCAGATTATGAAAAATAGAAGAAAAAATACACTGAGTTATAATAGCTTAGCATGCCACACAATCTAATTTAAAATTTTAAATTCTTCTATTGAATTTTATTAAATATTTAAAAATAGTTAAATATAGTCTTATAAATCACCGTATCGAGAAATGTAATAGAAGCATAACAATTATTAATTATTTAAAAAATAATATTGAGCAAACAAATAAATTATAATTCATGTCATAAAGAATTTCATATCACATTCATAGAAGCCATATAAAATCTCAAAAAATTCTAGTCACTTATAACTCAATTTTGTGCTTATAATACTAGAACATGTTTGTAGGCACAAGAATATGACTTATAGCCACAATAACATTCCTTATAGGCATCAGAGTATTCCCTAACATATATAGAATCTCAAATGAATAATTATGACCCCTTATATCCCAATATATATATTTTAATCATATAAGCATATATTTTATCATATTATAATAATTAAGCCAAACTTAGCACATGTCATAATTACACAGTGTTCTATATGGTAGGCACTTATAAAAAAATTAAGAAAAAAATTTCTTTTAAAAAATCTTTTGAAAAAATAAAAAACAATAAATTCTCTAAAAAAAAGAAAGAAAACTTTTCTTTGAAAAAATAATCATTAAAAAATCCTTAAAAAATTTAAAAAAAAATTATGGAAAAATAACAATGTAAGAGAGAGAGAGAGAGAGAGAGAGAGAGAGAGAGAGAGATTACCTGTTTCAGTACTGGTCGCATACTAAGGTTTAGATCCTTTTGGGGAGGTAGAACTGTTGCTGGGACTTTATATACTAAGTTAGTGAATATAATTTTTATATCAGCACCAATTAATTGCAGTGATATATTTTCAAAAGTAAATATAACATATCTATAAGTTAGTTAAAGGTGCCTTATGGAAATTAAAAAAAAAACACTCAAACAATATTAAATGACAATTTTTTTGGGAAATTTTGGGGTGGAGCCCATTTTATTAATACAAAGAAAATTACATAAACATAAAAAAATTTAAAAACAATAAAAGGAAAAAGCATGAATTCTGAAAAAAAAAACCTTCATTTTATACAAAGGATAGAATGAAAAGAACGCAAAAACGCCTGCAACTAGCTAACAAAAACAAAAATAGCATGTCCTTTGAACCAAATATATTTATGCCAAGGAATATCAGATAAATTCTCACAATATCTTGCCAAAAATAAACGATGGGTCGGATTTGATAAGCCTTCCTAGAGTACCATCGGTTGCTTACCACAATATGATTTTTTTAAAATTTCGTCCAACACGATTCTTGGCAAATCATAAATGTTCCTCCAATTATCTTCAGAAATATAATTTTTAACCGAAACAAAGGGACCGGCCATGAGGAGGGTTAATAATTTTAAAAATAGCTTTGTCATTACACCAATGACCCCAATAAAATGATAAGTTACTATTAGTAGCAATATGTAAGGCATTTTTGTGCTTACTTTTGTTAGAATAATTAAATATATTAATTATGCGAGATGTCGCAATAATTATTTAAAAATATATATTTAATCATATAAACCATTATGTGGCCCATATATTTGAATTATTGCAATTTAATTATTTATGTTTAAATCCTATTGGTCAAGAAAAGATAATTTGATCATTCGTTTATGGACCGTTTGATCAAATAACTCCTATGAGCAGTTATTATAAAATAACTTCTCTGAGTTATTATAAAATAACTCCTATGAGTTATTGTAAAATAACTCATATGAGCGTTTATTGTAAAATAACTCTTATGAGTTATTGTAAAATAACTCTCATGAGGGGTTATTATGACAAATCCGTAGGAAATAACTATTGGTCCTCTCGCTCTCTCATAAGGAGGAGTGATCTTGCTCCATAGACGATTAACTCATGATAGAAGAAAGTGAAGGGAGAAGGGAGAGAAAACGTAGTTCGAAATTCGACGAATTCAAAATGAATCAAGGTATGTCTTTCTTCAGATTCATGATTGTGAAAATCATCTTGTTTAAGATCTTGTGGATTTGAGACTTATGTAAATTCAAGTTTTTCGTTTCGATATCTTTTACATAAATTATGATGCGAGTTTATGCAAATATTTAGAGAACTCTATGAAGTCTTATAACTTTTGCCAGCAACCTCACAAATAAGCTTCCACATTTTAGAAGCATCCAAAGGAGGAGGTTTCTAAGGAGAAGAGAATTTCCTTATTTCCCTTTATACCATAAAGCCAAACCACTATCATGGGAAATAATTTTCCAAATAAGAGAGTAGCTAAAATTATGATAAAGAGCCTTAATCGAAGGTAAACCTAGACCACATGTAGTCTTAGGAGTACAAACAGTGGACCAAACAATGATTTGCATCTTCCTTTCATTTGTTTTACAATGAAACAAAAACCTGAAACACATCCTCTCAATAACATTGCAGGAGCTTTTAGGTATAATAGCTCCCCTAATCCAATATGTCAAAATATTAGCAATAGAAAATTTAAGAAATTGGATTCTACCCGCTAGAGATAAAAAATTAACCTTCCAAGATACCAAAAAATTTGTTTAGGAGAGGCTGAAAATGAAAGGCTTTCAATTTGTTCAGAGAAATAGGCAAACCGAGATAGCTTAGGTAATCAGCCGAATTAACAATCCCCAATATATTTAAAATTTCCTCTTGCTGGTTAGAGAGAGCAGCAAAAATGATGGAACTTTTATGCGGATTAATACCAAGGCCTGAAGCTTCAGCAAAATCATCAAGAATTATCTTTGAGATTTTTAATATTGTTTATAGAGTTCTCAGAAAAAACAATAACATCATCCCATAAAGTAAATGCTTAACCTTCATTTTGATAACCTAGCTGGTACGACAATTAACTTAATAATTAGCTTAATTAATAATAAGGGTAATTTCGGAAACGTCATTTTTTACGTTGAATAATATCGGTTCTCCAAACAGCCACCGGTATTATTCCCGTCGTCCCGCTTATCTCCGAAATAAATCGCCAGTCTTTGGGTTGATGGATTCTGGATTCGGATGCTATTATAAGCTGCTAATTGTTTCTTTCTATACGTCCAACATAAAGATTTTTGCCTCTCACCCATCTAACCTCTCTTTCTCTGCGAAATCGACGACTTGGTTTCGAGAGCTGCGGACTCCGTTTGCAAAGTAGGGCGGGGCGTCTTCAAGGGTAACTAAATCATTATCTTCAATAAATTTTATGGGTTCTAGGCTTTAATGATGGATTGATGATTGTATGTAGGGTTCTAAGGTGGATGCTGCTATTTTGTTTGAGAAAATTTTCTAACGTGCATAATTTTGTGTTCATATTGATGGTGGTAGTAAAATTAACATATTAAAATAAATTGATATTCATTTCGGGTTATGTTAGGAGAGCGTGGAAGAAAGGGTATTGGAGTTGGTCCTGATACACCAACTCAAATCTGTTTTACATCCAAAGGCTTAAGTTTGTCGGTAGTTAATATTTGATAATTTTACATGAACATGTTTTTATATCTGCTTTGACGCTGAATTAATATTCTCGCATGCATAAAAAAATGTTCCTCTTATGTGAGAGCTCTTCACATTATCCTTCACTCCTTAAATGTATGTTTTTTCATCAAGCAGGCGGAACCGGTCTTAATTTTCGGGAAGGGGGAACTTAATAAGTAAAAGTGTATATATATACACACACACATTGTGTGCACGCATGCACGCGCCATTTTAGTGACTAATGATTCTATGTACTTGAGTATATAATACATTTTAAAAATATCATCAACACCTTATATAATGACAAATATTCTTAAACAAAATTTATGTTGAAGTATGAATGATTTGTTTGCAAAAAAAATCAAAATGATGTAATTGATTAATCATTTAATCTCTACAAAATGCATGTTGGAGTTGCCTTGAATTTGGCTCGACCCCTATTTGCTCATATCCTTGATCATCGTATGCTTCGCAGATATGTCGGGGGTCCAAGGGGGTAGCACCCCTTGGCGGGTTCGACTTACCCAATCAGGCCGCGGGGTCAAGGGGCAGCATCCCCGCGGTGCCCCCGAAACAAATTTTGGTATTTCTCTTTGTATTTGGTTCATCATTCCTTAAGAATAACACCTCTACACAAAAGTGTTTAATTATGTTGGGGGAAATTGACTAAAGATCATATTATTTCAAAACTTTTATTTTGGGGGGGGGGGGGGGGAGATTGCTAAATATAAAAATAATTAAATATTATATAAAAAAAATAGCAAGAAAAAAAAAAAAAAGTGTAATTAAATTGTCATAAAAAATGAAGAATTACAAATGAAAAAATTTTTTTTTTTGTTTGGGGGGGGGGGGGGGGGGGGGATTTTGCCCCCCTGGGCTTAAGGTGGATCCACCCTTATCATCAAGTATTATTTTTCAAGAGTCCACTTAACTATGTGAAGCAATGTGAGAGTCACCTCTATTGAATGTCAGTCAACCATATTAATTATAACCATGGGAGTTACGAACCTCATGAACCATGCAATCTCACTTGAACCATTGAATATAATACTACCGCTGATCATCTCCAGCTCTACAGGCGAGTCCTCCTATCTAGTTTCCCTCTTCTGCAAGGATTCTCCCATTTTTTTTTTTCTGAAACTGTAATTTCTTTGGTTTGAATTTAGTTTCTTTTAATAGCTTATTTAGGATGTTTATTGCTTTGAATGTTTTCATTTTCTCAAATTTGAATCAAAATTTTTATTTTAGGGTTTGGACTAAATAGTCAAATGCAAGAAAAAAATCTCATAGGGCCATAGAAAAGATTCAATGTTGAAACATTGTGTGCACGTTGATGTTGGTGGAAGCAATAAAATATATGTATATTTGAAGTGCAATTATTGCAATGAGGCAGTCAAAGGTGGTGTTAAAGGATGGAGTAATTATCAGAATCTCACAAAAATATAGCATCATGTGCCAAAGTTCTAGAAACAATAAAAGAGGAGATTTGGTTTTAGACGAATAAGTCAAAGATGTCGAAGCATCTCACTTAGTGACGATTCGACGATAGGTTGAAGTAGGCTCAAATTATGGGAGTGCGCATAGTAGATGAGACTTATTATCTTCCTTGCCACCAATGCCTATCACGGGTGCAAGAGGACTCATAGGTCATATGGTTAATTTGGAGATGGCAGTAGGGAGATAGGCCATGTGCATCATAGAAGTTGTCTTCAGAGATGACTAGAGAGCACGCAAATGTGTTTGTATGAATATTGGGAGATTTTTTTTTTATGAGAACTCCATTCCATTCAATGTAACAATCTCTCCTTAATGCTACAATATGATATGTTCCATTGGAGCTTATGATCGAGGCTTTAAACACTTGTCCATGTATGAGTTGGGAATTGGGGTTTTGAAGGAGCAACATAATAAGATAGAGAAAGATATTGAATAAATTAAGAGGATTTGGAGCCAGATTAGTATGACTATGATATCTGATGGATGGTTTGACGTTAGGAACAAGAGTATGATTAACATACTGTTAAAGCCTATGATCAGGTGAATGATGTAGATTATATTTTTGGATTGCTAGATGGAGTGGTTGAAGAGATAGGAGATCACTTGATTGCATAGATTGTAACAAATAACGACATTGTTTATGAGCAGCCCGAGTCACTTTGATGGAAAAGAGAAATAACATATTGGGCACCTTTTGCTATACAGTGTATACATCTTATTCTTGAGAAGTTAAATGAGCTGCTACAATACAAGGATGTACCAAGTCATGCCAAGAAAATAAGCAAATTCATATGTAATCATTCTTGAATTTTGGCATTAATGAGTAAGTTTTCAAAGAAAGAACTCATACAACATATTACATCCATATTTGTTATAGCTTATCTAACAATACATAGCTTGTTGGGATCAAGGCAATCTTTGGAGGTTATGTTTACTTCTACTGAATGTTTTAATTATGCTTGGGTTAGGAGAGTTAACGGAAAAGAAGTTATAAAAATTATTCTAAATAAATATTTTGATTAATTGCATCATATGTAATAACAACAACTAGGCCACTGGTTCAAGTGTTAAGGATGATTAATGCAGAGAAGAAGCTTGCTATGTATTTATATACAATGTAGTGAAAGAACTGATTAGCTATAACTAAGGAGGAGTCTAGGCATGTTATAGAGGAATATGAGATATCATTGATGATAAGTAGGAGCTACAACTTTATCTCTATTTGCATGCTGCAAGCTACTGCCTTAATTCTTAGCTTCAATATGCAAACAATAATTCAACAAATCTTGAGATAAAATTGGGTTGTAACGTTGCATGAATAGGCTTATTGCTAACCCATCTGAAAGGGCAGATGCTTCTATGCAACTTATACCTTTTAGGAACAAGGAAAATTTCTTTGTTACTTTAACTAGCGAAAGATGTAGTTGCAAAACATTTTTCAGGTAATTTTTTTATTACTAATATTTTGAGTGAAAAAAGAACGCGCCCTTCATCTTTTAAACTTATGCTTATTTCTTACAACTATAATTGACAAGTGAATTTATTTTGGTGATGAAATTTCTAAGTTACAACATTTTGTTGTTAAGATTTTGAGACTTATATGCTCGTCATTCGGATGTGAATGCAATTAAAACAAATACAATTAAGTTTAGACAAAAAGGAGAAATGATCTAATGACCTTTTGGATGAATTCTTCGGTGTACATCATGAGACTTAAGGATTAAAAAATTAAAAGATAAATGTTTGAAGGATGATGTGATTCTATTGCTATATGATGAAATTGTTGTTACACCATTTGATTTACAACAAGGAGATTTGAATGTTGATTTCTATGATGGTAATAGATATAAAACATATGCATCCAATACAAACCAACTATGAAGAGTCAAAAAACATATATTAAAAATTAATTATAAAGCTTCTTAAAATTTAATTAATATTTTCAATTTTTTGTTGATTACCACTATGTAGGGAAGAGGAACATGAGTGAGATTGAAGAAGAATATTAGAAAACCTTGGACTCCACTTAGGATGAGGTAAGGGAGAAAATTATTCTCTATGATGATGACTCTAATCATATCCCCTGAATGATGATAGCGGTGAGGATTTTTAATTTATTGTTATATTGTTAATTTGGTTTGTACCCGTGTGGATAGAAAATGCCTCAATACATGACTACATAATTTTAAATCTTGATAAAGATGATGAATTAAGTCTGCAATGACACTATTGAACTCCTTCCATGGATTTCAACCATCTTCGTAGAACCTTGCATTGGAAAGGAGATTATGGTAAAGCAAAGGAGCGTCCAATGTGGATGGTAAAGTTGGGTCCTTTGGATTATGCTCAAATGGTGACAAACTAGATGCAAATAACACCTGAATTCAATGCTTCTTTACCAAGTTTGGGTTATATTCACCTTATTTATTTGCTTAATCATTACAACTCAAATCGGAAATTAAGCTGGACAATTATTTGGTCTACGATGTATTATAGAGCTAATATTAATATCTTGAGTGATGCAAACTTTGAATTGTAGTCTCGCATGGGTTCAAAGTAGCCAAAAAAGGTTAATAGTAGGCAAATTTGGTAAAGAATAAGCTATACAACAAATAAGGCTAAGGCGCGTGGATGATGCATTGTGCATGGTCCAACTCGACTTCACTCAACTTAGCTTAAATCGAGAAGTCTTTACAGTTAGTCTAGGGCACACATAATGCCCTTGATGTTCTTAGTGGGTATGAATGATGGCGATGACCTTGCTGACATCCTTAATGATGGTGACCTCATTGACTTTTGATCCGTGATTTGGATTAATATCAGGCTAGTTTTTTTTAAAAAGAGAATCCAAAATATAGGAGGGAGAGAGGAAGTAAGTTTGTTTATTTATTTTTATTTTTTAAGAGGGAATCCAAAAGAAGACTTATTCAAGGTCTAATGTTAGCTTGAACAATCCAATAAAAGCATAATCAACAAAAAATGGGCTAGAATAATAAATTTGAGTTATATAGACCGAACGTCTGCCTGATTTAGTCCGGTTCCACTCCTCTTCCTCAACCCGCTAGGCACATATTGTGCCTTAGGCTGCAATCTCCTATTATACCACTACCACTAGCATATTTTGCTAATGAGTGTGCAGCTGTAGCAACCTCACTTGAGCCTCAATTGTTGCAAGTGATCTTCAAATTTTTTATTTTCTAA